TTTAGTTGCCTGCCTCATTAATCAAACACTTTGAGTCTTTCTGTAGGCTGATGTTATATTTTAAGTTCCTGTTTGTTTTTTTTTTGTTTGTTTTCTGGATGCTCAGTTTGACTTACATATTCCATAGAAGCTGTTGGACTTCCCTGAACACCAGTTAATTAGGTCATTAGGGAAAGTTAATACGGTGTAAACCCAAACATTTTAGAATAACTTTGGAGACAAAAACAGGCATGCTCAGGCAAGGGCCTGTGTGGTCTGTATTGACCACGGGCATCCTCATCATGGTCTACAACTTCCTCAAGGTAGGCAGAGGAAGGGAGGCGCTGGTCTCCTCAGTCCTATGACCAGTGACAGGACATGAGGAAGTGGGATGACGCTACATTAGGGGAAGTTCAGATTGGACATTAGGAAAAGGTTCGTCACTGAGAGGGTAATTGGTCACTGGAACAGACACCCCAGGGTAGTGGTTATGATACCAAGCCTGTCAGAGTTCAAAGAGTGCCTGGACAAAATCATATTGTTTAGTTTTAGTTTCTCCTGTAAGGAGCAGGAAGTTGTACTCAATGACTCTTAAGGTTCCCTTTCAACTTGAGATATTCTTTGATTATATGACTCTATGACAGTGTATGGAAAACCAGCTGACAACCTGGATGGCTTAATGAGATGGCAGACTATCTGCCATACAAAACCCAGTGACTTTGACATCAGCTGCATTAGATCACTGCAGAAACTCCTGGAAGAAATTTTTTTTTTTTTTCAGTGCAAATATTAGGTAGTGTGCATTAAATAAAGTTTGACATGACATATTGAAGGGAGAGACAAAAAAAATAAGAACATCAAAGAACATTCAGCAACATCTGCTGAGTGCGATAATTGTACTCTTCGGGAAAAAAAGTGATCATAAGAACACTGTTTCCTATTAATAGCTTATCTAAATTTTTTTTTTTTTACTTTGATAGAAATGTAATGATTTACAGTGTGCTGTGTTTTGTCCTGGGTTTTAATTTGTTTTCAGTTTAAGTTGGAGAGAGGTAATTTTTTAGTGAATTAGAAACCCATTGGATACTGTGAGGTCTGGGTGAAATTTAAGATCAAGACAGTTTTGATACTAATAACAGTCATTAAGCAGATATGCACTAGGCTACTGCAGAACTACAGAAAGCCTGTATAATCAAACACACATTAGGAAGGTCTATCAGGTGAAATCACTTTAGGGTCAGGCACCCTTTAAGATCCACAGAGGACATTTGTCCCAAACGGGGCAAAATCTTTCAAAGGCACACTTGGTTAGAATGCATTCTTCAATAAAAACTTTGCTTTGTCCAAAGCAGATGCAGTTCCAAGCTGTTTTACCTTGTAAGACGTTGTCTTAACAGCCTTTATGGATTTTAATTCTTTTTTACATACAAGATGGTACTTTCCTTCCAATTTATGGAAAGTAGAAATTAATAAGCTTTTCCCCAAAAAGGTATAAGACATACATGCACAAAAATAATTTTCCAGGCATTTATATAATAAACTCTCCATAATAGAACAAATGTACATATGTGCACAAACAGAACAAACCCCCATGTTGAGTTCTAAAAAGGACATATATTAACCTGACTGCCTCAACAAAGACTCCCATAATCCCCTTTTCAACATTAAGAATTTTTGGTAGTGAGGAAGACACCGTCCAGAGAAAAGAAAAGCAAGAGTTAACATCTAGTCATTTTCAAGATATAGTTTCAGTTAGTTTCTGTCATATTTAAAAGTAATATGTTAAGGAAAATATTTTTTTTAATAGTACAACACTGAACTAGTAGAAAGTCTACCTTCTACCTACTGAAAAAGGTCATGTTCTCTGCATATTACAGACAGGCATTTTTTTTCTAATGTTACAAAATATTTGCCTCTCCCATTTAACTCAGAAAGGCAGTTTTGAGAAATCAAGCTTCATTTTTAGACACATATTTTAACATCCAAGTTTGATACCCTTGACCTTAACCTTTAACATAAAAATCATGTTTAGATAAGGTACTAATATAATACAGGTGGTGTTAAATACTTTTTTTTTTTTTTTTTTACATTTCAATATACTAAGTGATTTCTTAAGATTCATAGTGCAGAGCTATACAGTAGTATTTTGGTTAACTCTAAATAAAAAAAAATTGGCGCTAGAAGCAGCACATCTACAATACAGCAGTTTCCTACTTTTGGTAATTTACTCTGCTTTAGCATTTTATAATTGTGTTTATGCACAACAGTAGAGGAAAAAGAATTCTTTAAAGTACCTGTGATTAAGCTACATTTTGAGAAATAAGTCCGAAGTGGAGTTAGGTGTTTTGGGAACTCTTTTTGTCCATTATTTTTTATTCAATTCTATGTATTTGTGAAGGATTTTAAGTTCTTTTTCCTTGAACATGTCACAAAGCAAACAATACAAAGCAGTTCCTTTGCTCAGAGTTTCAGGAACATTTTCAGTCAACACGCATGGCCGAAACGTTTACTCTCAAACACAGCACTGCTTAGAAAAGAAGAATTAAAGAAGTCATTCATTTTAAAGGAATGATAGGGTCAAGTCTCCGGCTAGATTACTGAAGAGAACAAACACTCTTCAGCAGTATCAAAAGACACCATAAGACACACAAAAGCATATGTTCCCTGAGCTTTTTTGGAAATATTGATTGCTACCTACTATCCTATTCTGAAAAGGACAGCAGTTATCTCCTCTGAACACAAACTACAGAAAAATACCGTGTAGAAGGGGAAACATCAAAACTGAATTTCCTGAGAGAAGTCAGACCTCTGCTTTCTCAATGAGAGAATTAGAGCTAAGAAAAGATCTTTCAAGGAGAGAATGTAAAGAATTACCTCCACTTTTATATCATAAATAATGCTGCTGTTTGTTGTGGCAATGTATTTACAATACTGTATCATTACCTCACTTTGTCAATATTTTAACAAAACAAGTAATTTTCATTGTTTCCTATTCTAAGATTGACATGTATTTCATCATCATGGCTAGGCTTTGCAAAAGGAGATTTGAAAAGTGCTCTACCCACACTTGCTACAAGCACGCTGATGGCTAAAAAGGCCAACGCGAGATAGACAAGTCTGGTTGCAGAAGGCACAGCAGAAAGACTCCCCAGGTGATATCGACAAGACACAATTCTTTCTGCATTGTCTTTTCTCCTCGAGAGTGATCCAGTGAGTGTTCTCAAAAGCAGCAGCAGTGTTATAGATAGTGTGTCTCCAGGTCACTTGATTGAAGGCCAGAGCAGACCAATGGTGATGATCAATATGGTCAAGGCTGAGGGATTGTTTCAGGTAGTCCTTGTATCTCCTCTTCGGGGGTCCTCTCTTGCAGCAGTCAGTAGCAAGTTCCCCATAGAGCACAATCTTAGGGAGGCTGTAGTCCTGCATCCTGGAGATGTGCCCTGCCCAGCACAGCTGTGTTCTCAGCAGCATGGCCTCAATGCTCGTGACTGCTGCCTGTTCAAGGACAGACGTGTTGGTCACACAATCCGTCCAGTGGATGTTTAGGATTGTACGGAGGCAGCGCTGATGGAGGCGTTCTAAGAGACGCAAGTGGTGGTGGTAAATGACCCATGATTCAGACCCATATAAAAGAGTAGACAGTACAATGACTCTGTAAACACGGATCTTAGTACTTTTCTTCAGATGTTTGTTTTACCACACTCTTTTACGGAGTTTACCGAAGGCTCTGTACGCCTTTGCTAACCTGTTGTCTATTTCTTCGTCAATCTTACAGTCTGAGGAGATGATGCTTCCCAGGTAATTAAATTGCTGGACTGATGTGAGCTCTCTTTCACCAATGGTGATATGGGGATGATGGGAGCCTGAGGTGCAGGCTGATAAAAAATTCTGTTTTCATCAAGCTGACTTTCTGCCCAAAAAGCTCGGCAGCCTTTGCAAAGCAGGATGTTAAACACTGCAGAGCTGCTTCTGTGTGGGCGACAAGGATGGCATCGTCAGCGCAGAGCAGCTCACGGACAAGATGATTTAATGTCTTAGTGTGGGCCTTCAGTTGCCTTAGGTTGAAAAGGCTCCCATCGGTACGATATCAAATGTAGATACCATTTTCTTCATCGAGGTCTGCCATGGCCCTTTGGAGCATCATGCTGAAGAAGACTGTGAATAAAGTTGGTGCAAGAACGCAGCCTTGCTTCACACCATTGGCTATTGGAAAGGGGTCAGAAAGTGCATCTCCATATCTGACTTGGCCGTGCTGGTCCTCATGAAGCGAGATGATCACTTTAAGGAACCTAGGGGAATATCCTAAACATTCAAAAATCTGCCACTGACCTTTTCTGCTCACAGTATCAAAAGCCTTGGTGAGATCAACAAAGGTTACATAGAGTCCTGTGTTCTGTTCCCTACACTTGTCTTGAAGTTGTCTGAGAAAAAATACCATGTCTGTTGTGCTTCTATTGGCTCTACCTGAAACCACATCGGCTTTCAGGTAGAAGTTCTTCTGTTATGGTGGCTATTAATCTGTTCAAAAGAATTCTTGCAAGGATTTTACCAGCAATGGAGAGCAGAGTAATACCTTGGTAATTTGAACAATCTGATTTATCTCCTTTCTTCTTGTGCAAGGTGACGATGACAGCGTCACGAAGGTCTGATGGTAGTTCACCTTGTTCCCAACAATGCACCATGAATTCGTGAAACTTAGAATGGAGTGCTTGACTATCATGCTTCAAGTGGGATTCCGTCAACCCCAGCTGCCTTGCCAATTTTCACCTGTTGTATGACCTTAAGAGTTTCTCCCATAGTGGGGACAATATCCAGTTCAGTTTTCACTGGTTGTTGTGAAATGTACTGAATTACTGAGTCTTGAAGTACATGGCTGGTACTGAAGAGAGTCTGAAAGTGTTCAGACCATCGATTCAAAATGGAAACTTTATCTGTGAGAAGCATTTGACCATCTGCACTGAGTAAAGGGCTTTGAAACTGGTGTGTAGGACTGTAAGCCGTTTTCAGAGCCTCATAGAATCCCCTGTAGTCATTTGTATCTGCACGTAATTGAATTTTTTCTGCTAGATTGATCCACCACTTGTTCTGGATGTCACAAAGTTTCTGTTGGAGCTTGCTACATGCGAGTCGAAAGGCTGCTTCTATCACATGACAAAATGGATGAGCAAAGTGTGCTTGGTGAGCAGTTCTCTTCTTTCTCAACAATTCCTGGATCTCATGATTGTTTTCATTGAACCAGTCCTTGTTTTTCTTGAAGAAGAACCCTAAGGATTCTCCAGAGGACTGCAGAATGCTATTTTTAATAAGTTGTCAAAGCGCTTCTGGAGAGGGATCTGTGGAATGAACTTTGAGCCTGGATTGAAGATTTACCTGGAAACTGTCTCTCACTGTAGTTGTTTGAAAGTTGTTAACTTGAAGTCTCCTCCTTGGAATGCAGCCCCTTTTGGGTTTGAACTTAAGGTGGAGGTTAAGTTTAAAATGTGGCCTCAGAAGTACTTTTGCTCCACGGACCTCCATGAGGATTTTTCTAGCAAAAATGTGGAAGTGGGTGAATATTTCTAGCAGAAAGTACTCACAGAGAAAGAATGAAAATTAGTGTGAGAAACAAATTCTATTTCTAAAGATCTCAAAATAAACTGCAAATATGTTATCATCTCTATAATCTTCCTTGTAACATCTCTTTTCATTCTTTTTAGAGTGAAACAAAAGGAAAAGGAAACAAAATTACTTGAGGTTATCAGTGACAAAACTGGAAGCAGAATATGTTCAGAAAGCTCTTGTAAAAGAGTGAGATACTTGAGCAGGGTGTTAAATCAAAGTTTAGCTAATGCCTTCTGAAGTGCACTGTGTTCTCTAAATAAGAGAAACAGCTTCTACATAGTGATATTAATTGCATACTTGGTGCCGGGCACACTGTGGTTTCCATAGATCAGACATCTTTTTTCAACTTTCCTTTTTGAGAGACCTTATTGAAGGACAGAGAAAGTAAAGGAGAGACACTACACTGCAATGGTAGAACAGAAAATACTGTCCCTGTATGAACACACTAATTTTAAAATGTCCATATTCACTTATTTTTAAATTATAAACCCAACATAAGTCAGTTTCACAACACAGATTTGATGTAATTTAGTCATTACCATAGTTGTATCTGTCTAAAATAATCTGCTAAGTGAAAAAATATAAGACATTTCAAGGGTGTATTGGTCTACAGGTAATTTTTCATATTTCATTTTTTGATGAATGCATGAAACAACAATCAAGTACCTGTCTCCTATTACCTATCCAACTGCAGTCAAGCTGTTGCTTACTGCTAATAAAATTCTACTAATGGTAGAGAAGCTAATCTCACATGACTTTGATGATCAGATACAGAAAAGCATGGGCACTACTGGAGTTGGGAGGGGAAGGAGGGTTAAGCCCTTAAGTACCTTTGAGTGTCTAGCCCTAAATGACCTCAGCTTCCTCTTACTTTGATGTGTATTGAACCTTCACAGTCTCTCACAAAGTATTAAGGACTTGAATTATTTTATGACCTCAGAAATTCTGGTCATTATTTTCTTCCCTCTGGGTCAGAGAGGTTAAATTTTGTCATAAACCAGCTGACTCTGGTATCACAATAATTGCTTTCAGTGGGTCAAAGTTGATTACATTGCAGCCCATTTTACTGTACTTTTTGATGCCCTACTTAAATTGTTGTCAGATACTGTATTTCATTTCTTTGTCAAACATATTTAATTTATTTGTCAGAATGTATTTAATTTCTTTAATACATTGTATTTTTTGTTCCTTCTGTAATGTTTGCAACTGTCATACTTACTTTTAACTGACATTCTGGCACATAATTTCTTTCCAAATGCATAATTTTATTTTTTTGAAAGAAATCCTCATAGTTTGCTACTTGACTAATTTAAATGTATCTAAGCTGTGAACACCAGAACTTTCAGAAACAGAGGTGTCCTTACCAGAGGTGTTATTTTCTGGTGGCTAGTGTAAGAGTGCATAGATCTGGAAACACACACCACCTGAAGTAAAGGACAGAATTTGTAGCATATCAAAGAGTATTGCAGCCTGGAGGTTGAATGGTGCTCAACTGGCTCATAGCTTAGTCCCTGTATCTTCTTTGCTTAACAGTACAGCAGTTTGCTACTGCTGTTGGCTGAAAGAAGGAATCTTCACCTCTGAGTGATAACAGTGGACATCACTATCAGTTCATTGCTCCTCTGGGGATCTATGTGTATTGAGATTAAATGTGCATCCTGTAGTAGGTCCAAAGGGAGCTGCAACATCTACACTCTGCTTGCCATCCTTTTTGACAAAATATCCAGATACTGTGCACAAGCTAATAAAGGAATGGAATTAATACATACTGTTCTTCTGAGTAGTCTGGGCAAAACGATGGTTTTGAGGCCAAAAAAAATGCATGGATTCTGTTTTCATTAATGGATTTTGTGTGTGTTTGTGTGTGTGGGATTGTTTTATGCTGTAGTTGTGGAAGCTCTGTAAGAGTTAAGGCAACAAAATTTCTGATCCTAATTAATTTCCTTTGCCAAGCAGGAGGACAATGCTAATTCTTCCTTTTGAGCTAATGGACAGATTCCAGAGAAAATTATGTTGGCAATGTATCATTTGTATATTCTCAATTTTTTCCTGAAGGAAAAACAAACCATAGACTGGATAAAATTTTTGCTTGAAATGCAAGCCAAATCCTAGATTTATGGAGGGAACAGCATGAAAGACATTGTGTTTGAAATAACTGATAAACTTTTAGTCTGAGAGATTACTCAAATAATTAACATTTATGAGTAAAATTAAACATTGTTTACAAACAAACATTAAGCTTACTACTCCTGTGCTAGATTTCATGGTAGAATCATAGAATAGCAGGTCAGAAGGGGACCTGAAGAATCACCTGGTCCAACCTTTCTTGGCAAAATAATATCTCAGAGTAGATTTTTGAAGTGTTTTTCAATATCCATTTTCAGCTTTTCTAAATCCAAAATTCAGATTGTCCAATTCTATGAACATAACAGTTTCACATATTCTATTACCCAATGCCTCCCCCCCTTTTTTTTTTAATAGCACAAATTTTACAATGAAAGTGGGAACAAAATTTTCAATGACCACTTGAGTGACCAGTAAATATTTCCCAGATCTGGTTAGCATATCTGATAAAGAATTGCAGAGCAACAAGAACTAGTCACTTGAGCAGTATTAATATACGGGATATATTACCTCATCTGTAACCTCTGCATCATAATTAATATTGATCTTGTCAGGTGGCACTGATTGATATTGATGATCTGGATGAACAGATTGAGTCTACCTTTAGTTAAATTCATGGATGACACCAAGCTGGGTGTGAGCGTTATTTGCTGGAAGGTAGGAAAGCTCTGCAGCCTGGATAAATGAAATGGGACAAACAATGTGAGGTTTAACAAGACCAAGTTCCGGGTTCTGCACTTGGGTCACAACAACCCCATTCAGTGCTACAGGCTGGGGGCAGAGTGATTGGAAAGCAGCCCAGTGGAGAAGGACCTAGGAGTGTTTGACAGCTGGCTGAACATAAGCCAGCAATGTGCCCAAGTGGCCAAGAAGGCCAAAAACATTCTGGCCTGTATCAGGAACAGTGTAGCCAGGAGGATATCTGGATGTTCACCTGTTTTTTTGGCAAGTCTTTTCCCCAAAAGATGCATGTGTAACTGTGGATGCTGCTGTGCAAGACAGTCTTCCTAGGGCTTTGTCTCTTCATTCACACACAGGATGACACTGCAATGCAGGAGGTATTACAGTCTTTCTCTTTCCCTGCATTCTGACTATGTACAGGGCAGATATTGTTTAAGGCAGAATAACTTCCTTTTCTGCCTTTTAGAATACAGAGAGTTTTTGTAAAGGAAGAAAGGAGAAACCTAACAGAGTCAGGGATACTTAAGCTACCAGTAAAGCAGATTTGAAGTCATATATGCTCCAGAATTAGATAACAGCAATTAAGATGAAACTCTTCAGATTCCCTGTCCTTATTTCTCCTCCAGCACAACCAGCATCAAAACAGTAAAAAAACTCCTCCCTTCTTTGAAAGGAAGGGTCTTATCAATGCTCGCTTGTACTTATTAATGCTTCAGATCTCAGTGATGCTCCCATTTATTTTATCTGGTACTGACTTATATTTTTCTGGTAATAATAATGTGCCGACAACTGACTGGACAGACACTGGAGAACAACATTAAAAATGTAGAGTTTTTCTGGCTTAATGCAAGTGGAACTCTATTTCACTCACAACTATGTCCAGACCTTAGTAAAGATTCATCCTTCTTCTTTCCTTACATGTCTGTGGAGAAGTATAATTACTATTGTTGGAATGTACATCATTAAAACTTGTACAACTCACATATTGTTACCATATTTTCTTAGTCATTTTTGTTCTTATTTAATGGTTCTTTTTCTTGAGATCGCTTGTATTCTCCCATGTTAGCAAGCAAAAAGTACTTACCTGGGCTAGCATTTAATAAAAGTTCTACAGACAGAAGGATGCAGAGGGGAATTTTGTTGTTCTTGTTGCTTTCTTATTAATTAACTTGAAATAGCCATGGCCTTTCTGTATACATGAACAAATTCTATATACTTGGAAAAAAAATTCAAATTTAGCTGTGGTTTTAGTACCCCTCAAAAACAATTTTCTGAATTTGAAAAGTATTCTAAAGGACTTAGCAATAAGTTAAAATTTTTTTCTTGACATTTTGTTTGTTTTTTCTTCCTACTAATTTGTGTAAAAGAAAAACTCAATAATATGGGACAGGAAATCTTTAAAAGAGACTTCTTGTAATTTTTCTGGTAGCTCTGCAGCAGTAATAAAAAGTAAAAGGTGTTTCAATATATCTTTCTGCTTGGAAGTAAGTGAAAATACAATGAGACTTCCACATGTCCTGGCTTGTGAAGGATATTTGTTTAAGCAATTAACTATGACCAATGTAAAAATTATATTAGGAACAGGCAGCAAATAACTGACTATCTGCTGTAGGGAACATCCATGTCATATGTCCTGTTTTTGGCCAAGGACAGGGTTAATTTTTTGCAGTAGCCATGAAGGGACAGATCCTGCAGCCATGCGGGTATGACCAAGACTCTGATGTTATGCAATACCATCTGATGTCATTGCCAGTGTGAGAGAAATGGAATCTCTCTCACCTTCAAGAAGAAGGGTGTTCCTTCCCAGTGGTGCAAGCATATGAGTAAGATTTATGTACCATATAACTCTTGCCAGAATAAGTGAGCACATATGTAATGTTTGATTTTCTGACATAGGGGTAAATTCTATTGTAACTGTGACTTTGTAGAGCAAGTTAAAAAGGGTATTAGATTATCTTCTGTTCCCTAGTGTATTGTCTTACCTGTGTTTCAAGAATTACCTTGTGTTCAAGTAAAATTAAAAATTCAACTTAACAGAAATAAGTTTAAGTAGTGTAAGGAAAGAGTTTTATCAAGAAGGTGCAGTGGTTAGGAAATGATTCTAGTGCTTATTAGACGCTTTTGGGATGCCATTGTTTATGGTCCTAAAGTTCTGTATAGTAATGTCATGCTTAATTGGAACACAAGCTGTGCATTTATTAAGCAGTTGTAGTAATATTTTAGCTTTTACACTGAATCTCAGGATTTTTCATTTGAAGCTAATAGGAATTTACTTTGTTAACTGTAAACTAAGTTTACTTTGTATGATTGCACTTAAAAAGTTTTTGGAAATATTTTTCATCCCTGTTCCTGCTAATGATGCTCATTTTTACATACTGTTTAGTAAACTTTAGTCTATTTTTAAAATGCTCGTGTTTCTTACAATATCCAACTACCGCTAAATAAAACTCCTGTTGGAATAATATAATCAAGGAGAGAAGAGGAGAGGAGAGATTCATGTTAGACCTAATTTCAGTTATTTTTATCTTTTTTAATGGAAAAAGAAGAAAATTTCATACTCATATTAATGAGAAACTGTGGAGATATTTATCCAGTGCACTGGTACTGATACACTGCAAAGTTTCCCATACCCTCTATCTAGACTCTGAAAAATTCAGTGAATATCAAACATGCTCAAAGTTCCTACAATGCATCCCTGTACCCTATAGCACAAGTGGCTTTAAGGTGTTAAAAGCAGTTCAGTTGGAATGGAAGCCTCAAGCTGATGTTGTTAACACCTGGGTATTTCTCACTCATTTCAGACTCCATCATGCTTCCAGAGCATTATAAATTATATTATTTGGGACTCCACAGACTTCTTCTCATAATACAGCCATTATTCAGGACTGATCATTGTCATCTAAAGTGTGTAATTTCTGTCAACATTAGTTTCAGATTTAGTTCCATGAGATCACATTACCTGAATGCAATCAGCACAACTCAGCTCTCAAGTATTGATTCCTCACATCATTCCTCACTATATTCCTCCTCAGAATAGTCTTTCCATCAGTTCCCACTCCAAAGTCTTGGAAGAGACTCTCTTGGAGTGCAAACGAGAGCCTATAGATACTCTGCATCATCTGGATAGAGACGACTAGGTGCCATGAAGTTAGAGATATACAGAAGGAAAAATATCCGGAACTGACAGTGACTGAAAGGAGGATGAAACCAACAAAGTATCATCCCTTTCAAAAGAAATTCTCTGAATACTGGTGGGTGTAATTTTTATTTCACTGCAACCAAGAAAATATGTTATTGCTAATACAAATACTAATAGTTTTTTTGAAGTTACCATGTAACACCTCTAGCTCAGAATATTCAGAAGGATCAGAGGGCTGTGTTTTCTGTATCATTAGTATTACCAAGAGATATGTGGCATAACCCAGTTCCTCTTATTCCCACCAGTGTAGAACAACAGACCTTTCTATCCATTTTCTTGACCCTCAGTCTACAGATTAAATAAGACAAATCTATTCCACTGAAAGTGGCCTAAGAAAAAAGGCAAATCTTGCTTAGTTGTGGGTTTTTTGTGGTTTTGGTTTGGGTTTTGTTTGGTTTGGGTTTGTTTGGGGGTTTTTTGTTTGTTTTTTTTTTTTTGTTTGTTTGTTTGTTTATTTGTTTTTTGAGGGGGTTGCAGGATTTTTTTTGGTTCTTTTTTTGGTTCTTTCTACTTATGTTCAACTGTCTTCTGATGGGCTAAAATCACAAATAACCTTCTTATTATTCAATATTATATTAAGGAAGTTACCTATGAGACAAAACAGGAACGTTTCATACACATTTTGAAAGATTCTTTATAGTTTGACCTCCTTTGGTATCCCATATTCTGAATAATGTAATCCCAAAACATCTCTTTTCTTGCTTCGCCTTGGATGCACAGTGAAGATATTTATGTGGAAAATGTATTACACATTAGAATGTGTTGAAACACAGAATGGCCTCTTCTAGATTCTATGTGGTTTGGAATGATGATCCCCACATACAAGACAGATAAGAGAGATGGAAGCAATATAGAAAAATGTCAAAAAAAGTAGCTTCAAATGCTTTATTTTCCCCTCTCATGTTTTGGGTACTAGCCACCTTTGAAGAGCCCTATGAGAGAAACAGGTTGCTGATCACAGAGTAGTTTAACTGAGATAACCCTTGCAGCGAGTTGTATAAAGCATGTGCTTCACTGTCAGGCAAGACAACATAAAGCTTTCTCTTGTTCTGATAAAAGATCTATCCAATGGGAAACACAATTTTAGAAACAGATCATAGGAGACCATCACATTTAAAGACATTTTTCCCAGCTTTGTCTCCTTTGAGATAGACTGACAGGCACATTAGAAAGTGTGTCTTTTCCTCTGAGTTTTGGAAGGTTATCTTTTAGGTTGATTTTATGTTCTGTGAAACATTGATAACAACCTGCCAGAGCAGATGTGTTTACATCGATTTTTCAAAGGTAGGAAATATATATATGAACTGAGTGGGTCTTAAAATAAAAATCATGGTGGAGTTTAGTAAAAGTCACCTGTTACAATTAGAGCAAAAAAAGGGTCTACTATGGAGAAATGTTATTCTGAAAGCTTTATTTGCTTAGAAAGTTCTGATAGTTTTAGATAGCTTATGAAATTTCATGTTTAATTTAAATTAAAAAAGAAGAAAAAAAAAAAGGAAAGAGGGACTGAATGTCCTTCAGCTTGCTACATATTTTGTTTTTCAGTTTGGTAAAGAAGTCAGTGTCCTGTCTGGAGTGAAGTAGGGAAAGTGAATAGGAAATAAAGAACAAAGATGTTACTCAATTTCATTTGTTCTGAAAAACAAGGAAGAACCAAAACATTACAAACAATTTTTTTAATGCAATTATATATTACATGCATACCTTTATTAATAAAATCTGTAACTGAATATTTATGACCTTTTCTAATAATGTTGTTGATAGGAAATGCAATGTCTGACATCGGGTCTTGCAATGCAAGGCACAGAGATATTTTGTGAATAGCTACCTCATATATAAAACTGGATGCATGTTAAATTCCAAAGTCATGTGAGGACCGTTCTTTACTAGCTTGATTAGAACTGAACATGCGTAAGGAAATAGGACCTAGCAAACTCTGAAGACACATTTATACCTTTTAATCAGTCTAGTCTGCTTCCCACTTGACAGTATACCTTCAGCAACCTGGAAAGCTCATTCATGTTATGCAGGCCTTTTCAGGGCTCTAAGTGGTGTGAAACATTACTTGGACTCTCCACTGAGAACCCTTTACAACTGTACATTCCTTCCAAGACCCTTGATACCTCATGTTGGGGCTACTTAGTGTGGTGTTAGAAATCATATAAGTAATTCTTTTCCCATGCTGTTTGTATTGCAGATGTGCAGACACAGTTTTAAAGCTTCATTTTACCTCTTCTTTTTTTTTTTGGTACTTACATATGCAGCATCAATATTTGATCTAGAAATATTTATTAGAAGCTTTCTACACATATGTGTAACTCCAACCTTTAAAATGATGTTGAATGTTAGATCAAGGATTGCACTTGATAGAGAGAAGAGGGAAAGGTCAGCTCTTCCAGTAGGTTTGCCATATTGGCATTACTTGCTGGACACACCTCTCAGAGCCGTTCATAGCATAACTGAGAATTAAGGCCCTATAGAAACACATCAAGAAAAGAGAAGGCATACAAAAGGCTCCTTTTTGGTTTCACAAATCCATAGACAAATCAAAGCAACTAAAAGAAAATCAAGCTATTAAAAAAAGTACTTGAAAGTATCATTGACTAAGTGTACACTAAGCCTTTCCTTTACACATGATTGTAGCAGCAGGTTTGGGACAAAATTGTTTATAAGGATGCAAGTGTAAAGAGTCTCTTGGGGATGCCTGAACACTTGTACAGTTTCCTCTTTTAATCATTTTCCCAGTTTCTCTGACCTCCTGTTTATTAACACCTTTCTCTGAACTCACTTCAAAATGTCATTTTCATATTTTATTATTCCACTAGTTTTCTTGTTGGCTGATGAAAAAAAAAATAGTCTTCTTTTCCAGAAATCTTCAAATATATGCTTTAATTTTGTAAGACATTTAAAATCTGCTCTGGCAACACTAAGGCCATTTTGGTGTTAATCCTTATAGATTCTGGGTAGGAACAGTATTCTTTTTACCATTGTGCTGGTATGTCACCTCTATCATCCTGCTGAAAGTACCTATCCTCTTGACTTTCTGTGACAATTGCTGAGTGCCTTCTTTGGCATACAGAAAGCTGAAGTATAGGTTGAGGTTTCATCAGTATTCCACATGTGTGACAGTCGATACTTCTTGACAGCTTTGTCACATTCCTTCAAAGAAACTTCTTAAACATTCCTTTATCTAATTTAAGGAGGTCTTTCTTTCTAGAGAATATTAATACTAATTAAAAATAGACATATCTTTTACAGATATTTTCTTTCATTTTCTCCTTAAATGTACAAAGATTTTTATGGAATTTTCATGACAGTATAATTTGGATTTTACAGGTTGTCTATATGCAAATATTATGACTCCAAAAACATCCATGTATTTATTCTGTGATCAAAAGTTCTCTTACGATGAAGCAAGGAATCTGCTAACATTATTGTCTCTTATTAAGGCTAATCATTTTCCAGCTTTTTGAGTTTCTTACTTAATTTGGTATATGCCAAACATTCTCTACTGGTTTTCAGTTGGGATATCATGTTTTGGTCTTATCTGATTTCTTCTCCTTTTACTTCCTAATCGGTCACTGCTTCACTTTTTACAACTTACTTTCCATAAATTAAACTTGCTTTTAATGCCGTATTTTGAATGGCTCTTCTGAGCCTACTCTTTTAAGATTTTTGGCCTATTTTGTAGGCCTACGAGGAAGTATGGCAAGTCTTGGGTAAGGCATCTAAAAGAGCAAACCTTCTGATGGTGTCTATCACTTAATATAACACAATTCCATGTTTAGCCAACATCTGTGTCTGTTAAACTGTTCCTAAAGAAAATAAAACACAACAAAAAATTTTGAAATCACTCGAAGAGAGGAATTTAAGAGCAATTTATATACAGTTACACTTCAGTTTTGGCAATACTACTGATGCATTTTTAGATATTCAAAGGAATATTTTGAATGTGTTCTCAAGGTTGAGAAATCTGTACACTTCAAGCAAAACAAGTAGAAACAGAAGGCTGTTTCAAATTTATCATTTTGTTTTTTTTCCCTGCCATAGAAATAATGTCATTGCAGTTGACACATTCCCATAAGAACATTCCTGCAAATGTTCCCATATTCATTTAATTGAAGTAACATTTTCCAACAGAAAAATATTTCACAGAAATATTTTACTGGTTCTACCTAATTCTTTTTTTGTCAGATAACTCTCCTGATTCTTCCTTTTATGACTGGGGATATTGAAATAATTGCTCCCTTATTAAAGACAGGTTCTCCTTACTGGATGCCTTCACTCCTCACATTGTGAGTACAAACCTAAAGTTATCAGTGAGTACAGTGTGGCAGGGAATGCTACAGAAGAGATTTCTCCTCAGGTGGGAGAAGTCTGTTGGGAGCCTGCAGAAAACCTCGTACTGAGGAGCTGGTGACCTTGAACTGTCCGTGTCTCCTCTACTGGGCCCTGTACTCCAGGCTTGAGAAGTCCCTATGCAGCATGAGCAGCTGCTGCAGGAGAACCTGCTGGTGCATCCCATGCCACCTTGTGCTGCACTGGTGGGTGGCTGGTACAGCAGAGGGAGCATTCCAGCCTTTCAGGGAACTCTCTGGTAGCTGAACAGCTTCCTGACAGAATCTGTAACTTGTAATATGTTTGGGAACAGCAAAGTCCATGTTGATCAAGGAGTGCAACAAGGTGGTTCTGACTGGGGACTGCTGTTCTTCAGGGAATTTGTGACCCACACCACAGCTACCTGAACACAAGCTGTTCTGGGCCACCTGTTCAGTTTGTCTTGAGGCTTTGTGGTGGTGCATGAGTTCTTGACTACAGGATAAACTCAGCCAGCTGGTTGTAATTGAGGGTACCAGCAATTACATGATGTGTACAGTCTTGCTTTTATTTAAGAGTGAAGCAAGAAGTTCCTTGGATGCAAACATCCATTCTGTTTGACAGTATCAATGATGGCTTGACTTATTTTCTTCAAGAAAATTGTATATAACAGCTTGAATGACCAAAATGAAGAACAATTCTTCATGGACAGGATCTGTGCAGCACACTATGCATCAGTGGAGATGCGTCAGTAGTCTGTTGGATGATGCACACATGCATGCACCCTGCATCTGAAATTGTGTAAGATTTTCTTGTTGTCTTTATGTCTCATATTATCCTATCTTGTTTAAACAGTTACTTTATTAAACCATTTACTGTAAACCCTTTCTTACTGAGATCCAGACAGAACCCTACACTACCTCTCTATCCCTTCAAGTACCAAGTGCGGGGGAGTGGAGAATTTAGAGACAAGGATTTTTTTCAAGAAAGGATTTGAAAAGTAGGACAAAGAAAATGTGTTGGTGTTAAGAAGTATGTTGGAGAATTTAATTAAAGATCAGTGGCATTATAAACCAGAAAGTATCATCAAGCTTATACATCATGGAAAAATCAGTTTAACTCTGGAAAAAGAGATTTTGCCCTTTGGATTGGTACCAAAGCTTAAAATTTGCAGTAGGGAAAAACTGTGTTCAGAGTAGAGTAGAACAAATGTCTTAATCTGGTAAAACATGTTTAGTAACTTGCAACACAGCTACAGAACTGGCTCTCTGCAAATGTAGACTAAATGATTGAACTAAGAAGGAAATTACTGCGAATGCAAGAAGGAGCTTATTTCAGCGTAAAGAGGGAACAGCCCAAGTGGACAATTGCACCTACTATTTGGCTGCAAGTCACAAACCAAGATATTAAAGTGCATTCCCAATACTTCTTGCTACACGAATAGCAGGCTAATAGACCTAATACAAGCAGGCTGTGCTTGCAATACTAAATGAATATCGTCTTTAGAACACACAAACAAGGAACAAAGGAATGCTTCACAGACTTAATGGCAAATTATTGCTAAATCTTTGGTATAGATCAGGAGAAGGTGGAGGTTTTAGATACAGCCTCCCAATCACCAAAAACTGTCTTAGGGATAGGTAGTTATAATCATATGGTAATATCAACTGGATTAGGAGTTCTGTTATATATTTAAAGCTTAGTTATGAATGCTATGTTCAAATTTAAAGCTAAAAGTGATCCAGAGTTCCCTGTAGCTTGTGATCCTATAATGAATGAATGGATTAGCATTTTAAAGTTTTTTCAAGGATCACATATAATTATACATCAAGAAATTTTACTGTCACGTGGCATTTTTTTTCCCCAATGAAATCAATGCTTACCAAATATTCTTCTAAATTTGTAGAAAAAGTGAGCTTGTTTCTAAGGCCTGTATTTGATAGCTGAGGTAGGTACACATACAAGGAAAATAAATGAATTTATGTTAAAAGTTTCAATAAATTAAACATATCAAAAGTATTTCCAGCATATATAAAATCATTCAGTATAATTGCTCTTTTACTGAAAAATATTCTCCATAACTACTTATGAGATGGGCATCTATTGTAGAAAAAATTTTCCCAGAAATACTATATGAATTCATTTAGTTCAGTAAAAGTGGAAGAATTTTTTGAATTCCTTCCTCCCCTTGACTTTTTGCGTTCTTGAAAATACAGCTATGAAACTTCAAGTGTGGATTTGCAACATTAGTGAAATCGCTTTAGAATAAAAATAAATAAATACACTTCAGTGTGGATTACTCTGTAACAAGCAGCTGTTTTCAAGTCATGATTAAATGTGAACAACCAGGCCAGGAAAAATTCCAGTAAATTTCTGATAATGACCTACCTATATCACCACTACCAGTAAGTCTTCTTTTAGGTCTAACTGCCTACATAGAAAATTAAGCAGAATTTCCACACCCACTGCAATCACACCATGTGGCAACACGTCTGAGCTTTTTGCATTGTGCATTTATTGCTAGTTCAGTCTCTCCAATACACTGGGCTGAAAGAAATGCTATCCCCTTGGATGTCCTGAACAAATCATGTTGGGGTTGCTCTTTCTTCCATTTCCTTGTTATGTTAAGCAATTGTAACTGTTTGAATTAAGTGGCCACTGCACTAACATGCACCCTAGTTCTCAAAACAGACAATAATTCTACACATAAATAACTGTAAAATACAGTTTGCATGTTTCTAAAATCAATTGTAAATTACTTTCTTATGATACTGAAATACAAAGTAGTGATGAGGCATCGATAACAATTCTTAAAAAAAATTCTAGTGCTCCATCAAATTAATTTTTTTGACATTCTTTCTGCTGATTTGCCATCGTGAAGCATGGTAAAATTACCACATTTGCAGGGGGTAGAACAGATGTTTAAAGGATATTTGGTGAGTGGCAGCAGCAACAGAGGAGGCATGCACAAAAAACATGACTCTCTTAGAAAGTTATTTTACAGATTTCTTTGCAGCAGACCACACCAGCAAAAAAAGAGCTATGTTAACTTGAGAAAAGAGGAATAATGACTAAAATCAAACTATTTCAGCTCTATCTAATAAAATAAGTAATCCTAAACTGATAAAGCTAATTTTGATAGAAACACTGGTCACTAAAAAGTAAAATCTTTGACAGAGAGATCTGGTGATTTTTTTGCAGTCATTGAAGACATTGCTAGATGTAGGTAACAAACTATCATTTTGCAGGAAAACTCAACATATGCAGTCTACTGAAGTATCTCCCATTCTCACCTCAGACTCTTGGCCTGAGTCCCCTCGTCAAAAAAGAAGCTGATTTGCAGAATTAAGCTTGAACAGCTGAAACACACACACATACTACATTCTGCTGACTCTACTACTATTGCAATAAGATCTGAAAAAGGGGGAAATTACAAATGCCTAAGAACTATCTTAAAGAGAAACAGTTGTTTGCTTGGTGAAAGTGATTCGAGACTTGAAAAAATTATATGCAATTTTTTTTGCGTGTGTGTGTCTGAACAACTGAATAACATGTCAATAGTTGGAAAGCAGAGGAAATACTCAAAGTTACTTGGTTTTGCAAAAAAAACATATGTTTTGGATTTTTTATTAAGATTTATTATGAAATATTAAAATAAAGCTCTTGCAGTCTATCAAGTAATTTTTCCAAACTGATAAAGTAGCAGCTCTGACTCAATACTTAGCATCTTTAATTTTAAAAAAAATTACGTGGAGTTCTCTTTGTCATCTTGATAGATGAAGAAAAACTATCTCCAGTGTATTAAAAAACCT